TCTGTTGAAAAGATCATACCACTTTTTCTTGTTTTAAGTGTATTGAACCATCTTTATATCCCTGGAAGGAATCAATTTCACCATCTTTTTCATGTAGTACTGATTTTGATTTCCCAGTGCTTTATTTAGAATTATTTTATCTATGTTTATCAGGGATATTGGTTTATAGTTTTCTTTTTTCTTTATGTCCTTGTCTGGTCTGGGTTTTTTCTTGTGTCTGGTTTGGTAGTGGAGGTGAACTCACAGGATGAGTTTAGAAGGACTCCCTCACTTTCAATCCTTTGTAATAGTTTGAGAAGCATTGGAATTATGAGTTCTTTAAAAGTTTGGTTACATTTAGCAGTGAATTCCTGGGCTTTTCTTTGGTGAGAGCCTTTTTAATACGGATTCAATCTTATTACTTACTGGTCTAGTCAGATTTTTATGTCATTGTGGTTCAATTTCAGTAGGACACTTATGTCCAGAAATTTGTTTATGTCTTCTGTGTTTTACAAAAGATTAGCACACAGTTTTTTGGGGTTTTTTTATTTGTTCATGTTTGTAATCCCTAAGGATCCTTTACAATGCTTGAGATGTCTCCTTTTTCATCTCTGGTTTTTAAAATTTGGGTCTTCCACATTTTTTTCTTGTTTGGACTAGCTAAAGATTTGTCAATTTTTTTCAAAAAAAAAAAAGCAACTCTTTGTTTCATTGATCTTTTATAGCTTTTAAATTTCTAATTCATTTATATCTTCTCTGATTTTTGTTATTTCTTTCCTTCTACTAATTTATATTTCATTTGTTATTTCTCTACTAAATCCTTGAGATGCATCATGATTGTTTATTTCAACTCTTGGTATTTTGTTGATACAAACTCCATCTTAGTCCTGATTTTATATACTTCCTCTTACTACTGCTCATTTTTTAGTTTTTTATTAGCAGACATTAATTGTACAAAGGGTTTTATTGTAATAGTTCCATACACACATATAATGTACTTTGATCAAATTCACCTATTACTCTTCTTATACTCTTCCCTCCCTCCTTTTTAAAGCAATTGTAATGGGTTTCATTATTCGATTTTCAAACAGGCAAGTAATGTAATTGGAACATATTCACCTTCCCCATCCCTCTTCTTTTGGTCTTTCTCCTCCCACAAGATTCCCCCATCAGACAGTCCCCATTTTACACTCATGTCATTCACTTTAATTTAGGTCTAGATTCTACATATAAAGGATTTTTGTCCTTCTCGATTTGCCTTATTTCACTTAACATGAAGATCTCCAGTTCCATCCATTTTCCTGCAGTCTTGCTGTTTCTTTGATTTGTTGTACTTCCATTTTCATTTGGTTTAAGATTTTTTTCTGTTTTCCCATTGGTTCCTTTGAGGATGCCCTGATTATTCAAACTGTGTTATTCAGTGCCATATATTCGTATAATTTCTGACATTTCTTTTGTGGTTGATTTGTGCTTTCATTTCATTGTAATAAAAGGTACAGGATATAATTTCAATTTTTTTTTGAATTTGTTAAAATTTACCACCTATGGCCTAACTTCTGGTCTGTTCTAGAGAATAGATGATATGTTGATGATAGAAATATATATTCTGCATTATGTAAAATGCAGAAATGATTCCCATTGAAACTGTTCCATGAATTGGGGAAGAGGGAAGATGAAGGAGAGGGGGTGAAGAGGGTGAATTCATGTATGACATAGTTGATATCTTGTAAAAGCTTTGTAAATGGTACAGTATACCCACACACAGCACAATGATAAAGAAAAAAAAGCATGTGTGTTCTGCACACACTCACATGTCCTATAAATGTCTGTTAAGTCCATTTGATCTACAGTATAGCTTAACTCTGAGGTTTCTTTGTTAATTTTTCTGTTGTATAAACTGTCCATTGATGTAAGTAGAGTGTTTAAATCTCCATTATTGTTATATTGAAGCCTCCCTTTACATTTAGGTTCAATAGTGTTTAATTAATTGGATGGTGTTTGGCACATATAGATTCATAATCATTGTTTCTTCTTGTCAAATTGATTCCTTGTTACTTAGTATGACCCTCTTTGTTTCTTCATATAGTATTTGTTTAAAGTCTATTTGTCAGATATATAGCCACTCCTCTCGCTTTAGGATTCCATTTGCTTAGCATATCATTTTTCCATCCTTTCAGTCTGTGGGTCTTCACTAGTGATGTGAGTTTCCAGTAGGCAGCATGGTGTTGTGTTTGGGGGGGGTCTGGTTTTGGTTTTTTTGTCTTTGTAATCTATTCAGTCACTCTGTCTTTTAATTGAGTATTGATTCTACTCTCAACTTCCATGATATTGGTTTTTTTAGATTCCACACATGAGGGGAAAGTGCTTGTTTCTCTGTGCCTGGCCTATTTCACTTAATAAGTGATCTCCACTTCCATCCATTTTGTCACAAATTATAGGACATAATTCTTTTTTATGACAGAATAGTTTCCTGTTTTCTTTATCTGTTCATCAGTTGATGGACTCAAAGATTGTTTCATTACTTGGTTATTTAGAATGTTGCTGCAATGAACACAGGAATGTGGATGTCTCTTTGACATCCTGATTTAATTTCCTTTGGGATTACTGGATCATATGGTAGCAATATCTTAAATATTTGAGAATCCCCCCACCCTGTTCTGTTTTCCATAATGGCTGAACCACTTTGCATTCCAACTGACATCATGCAAGGGTTCCATTTTCCCCACATCCTCATCATCACATGTTACCTGTAGTCTTTTTTACAAAAGCAATTCTTTCTAGGATGAGATGATATCTCAATGTGGCTTGACTTTCTTTTCTCTGATGATTAGCGATGTTGGCAATTTTTCATGTACATGTTGGAAATTTGGGGGTTTTTTTCTCCTTTTTTGGACATTTTTTAGAGAAATGTCTTTTTCAATCTACTGCTCCTATTTTAATCAGGCTATCTGGTTTTTGCTGTTGAGGTGTTGGAGTTCTTTATGTGTTCTTGTTGTTGGCTTATGGATAGCTTACAAATATTTTCTCTGATTCTGTAGATTTTCTCTGTACTCTGTTGATTGTTTCCTTTACTATGAAGAAGTTTTATAGTTTTACACAATCCCATTTGTCTGTTTTTTACTTTTCTGTTCTGTGGTCTTGTCCAAAAAGTCCTTGTCCACTGCAGTATCCTGAAGCATTCCTCATGTTTTCTTCTAGTAGTTTTGTGGGTTCTGATCTTCCTTTAAGACTTTAGTGCATTAATGACTTTTGTAACTAGTGAATGAGAGGGGTTTACTTTGATTCTTCTGCATGTGGACATTGAATTTTCCCAGCACAATTTATTGAAAAAAAGTCATTTCTCCAATGCATGGGGTTTTTTTAGCACATTTGGGGTTTTTTTGTTGTTGTTGTTTGGGTGGGGAGGGTTGTTGGGACTGGGGTTTGAAATCAGGGCTTCACACTCACAAAACAGGCATTCTACTGCTTGAGCCACATCTCTAATCCATTTTGCTCTGGTTCTTTGGAGATGGGGTCTTGTGAACTATCTCCCCAGGCTAGCCTTGAACTGTGATCCTCCCAATCTCAGCCTCCCAATTTTAACAGGTATGAGCCTCCAGCACCCAACTTTTCACATCACTGTTGAAAATCAGTTGGTGGCAAATCTCTCACCTGTTTCACTGGGCTGTGTGTCTGTCTTTATACCAGTACCTTGCTACTTCGATTATGACAGTACATTTGGAGGTCAGGCAGTATAATGCTTCCTGCTTTGTTCTTTTTTCTAAAGACTGCTTTGGCTATTTGGGAGGGTTTGTTGTTGAATATAAATTTTAGGATTGCGTTTCTAGTTCTTTGATGAACACCATTGGCATTTTAATAGTGATTACATCAAATCTGCATATCACTTTGAGTAGTATGCACATTTTAATGATATTGATTCTTCCAATTCCTGAACATGGGACATCTTTCCACTTTTTTGTGTACTCTTCCATTGTTTTTCATCAATGTTTAATAATGTCAACTGTAGAAATCTTTTCACTCTTTGACTAATTTGTTCCTTGACATTTTATTTTTTGTGGCTGTTGCAAATGGAAATGCTTTTCCCAATTTCAGTTTTAAATAATGTGCTATTGGTATGTAGCTACAATACTTACTTTTGTATGCTGATGTATTCTGCAACTGCTGAAGTCTTTCATTATTCATGCTAGCTTTTGGTGAAATTTTGGGTTTTTTAATATATAAGATCATGTCATCTATAAACAGTGAACACTTGACTTTACTTTTTGATGCCTCTAACTTCTTTCTCTTTCCTGAATGCTCTGGCTAGGACTTACAGAACTATGGTGAATAAAGTGGGCGTCCTTGTTTTCTTCTAGGTCTTAGAAAGGTTTCAGCTTTTCTCCACTTCCATTAGCTGTTGGCTCATTGTAAATAACTTTTATGACATAGAGGTATACTCCTTCTGTACTAATTTCAAAGACACTGGCTTGTAGTTTTCTTTTTTGGTTGTATGTTTATATCATTTTGGTATCAGGGTAATTTTTCTTAAGGAATGTGCTTAAAAGAATTCCTTTCTCTACTTTTTTTTTTTAAATTATTTAAGAAGAATTGGAATTATGTTCCCCTTTGAATACTTGGTAGAATTCAGCAGTGAAGCCATCTCATTCTGGGTTTCATTTGGTGGGAGCTGTTGTATTACTGATTCAATCTCATTCCCTGATGCTGGTCTGTTCAGGTTTTCTGTTTCTTCATGAGTTAGTCTTGGTAAGGCTGTGTGTCTAAGAATTTGTCCATTTCTTCTTTGTTAGCAAGCTTGCTGGTACATGGTGTTCATAACAATGTCTAGTGATTTTATTTCTGTGATGGCAACTGTAAAGTCTCCCTATAGTGCCTGATTTTCATTTATTTACTGTTTCTTAGTTGTATGGTACTATGGTTTGAATATGGAATATCTCCACATATGGAAGAATCATATGTTAAACAAAGGCTTATCTTCCAGCTAATGGACTTTTGGGGAGTGATTGGATCCTGAGGGTTCTGACCCAGTTGATGAATCAATCGCTTGATAGGTTCATAAGATGATGACATTATTAAGAGGTGGGCCTCGGTGAACCCATAACAATTTCTCCAAGACAAAGCCCTGTGCTGTCTTCCATGCCCGGCTCCCAAGCGTGTGGAGTCTGCTCCCCGCTCTGCTGCCATGGTGGAGGCAGTCAGCTGCCTGGCCTGCAGCTCCAGCCGTTCAGTCTGTGGGTGTCAAACAGCCATAGGGTTCATGGGACTTTGCCCACACTGGGTGTCATGGTGGCATGCCTGCTAATGACTTTCAAGTCAAGGGCTCAGACTTAATTCTCTCTCCATGACCAAAGTGGGCTGCCCAGGGAGATAGCATGAACCAGTCTTTCCCCCTGCCTTCCTCAGTAGGTCCTCTTGTTTTGTTATACTAAATACAAGAACTGTGGTCTTTTCCTTTATTTTTTTAGCTCTTGAAGTTGGTTAGTGTGTGAACAGCTGATCAATTTCAGTGTGCCTCTGGGGAGACCATCACTGGAGAATGTCACTTAGCCACCAGCCTACTCCTCCTCCCAAATGAATTCCTGGGCATACACCAAGAAATGTAGAGATAGACTCAGCCTGTTTGTAATAGAGGACATTTTAACACAATCAAACTTCCATCAAAAATAAAGATTGACAAACTATGAATGAACTATAAAACACAGTAAATATTAATGAACTATGGATACATGTATAAAAATGGATAATCTTAGAAATATTGTTTTGGATGATAGAATAAATGGTAAAGACATGAAGTATAATACTATGTGTTAACTGTTTTTAAAGTATTCAAAACATTTTATAAATAGATAAATATTAATAGTATAAAACATGCCTGGAAGTTTTTAAAAAAACTCAAAATCAGGACATGAAAGGCAATGGAACAATAGATTTTGATTGTATTTGTAATCATTTTTACTTTAAAACCATCAGAAACAAAAGTGGTAAAATCACTAAACTAGGCCAGGTATAGTAGTGCACATCTATAATCCAAGCACTCTGGAAACCAAGGCAGAAATTTCAAGAATTCTCGGACAATCTGTACTATATAGTGAGACTCTCTAAAAAAAATACTAAACTTAATAAAGCTATATGATGGATTCATGACTATTTATTTTGTTATGAAAACTTTTACACACATTTGAAACACTTCACAATAAAAACATATTCAAATGACAAGCCAAGTCCTGAGGACAGGTAGCCCCTGAGCTGACAGCTGGGCACCGCACACCAGGAGGATCAGAGTGGGGAGAGGGGAAAGTTCTAAATTCAGTCCCATTTGGAGGGAAACAGAACCCAATCACACTTCTCTGCTTATGCCCCAAAACTGTGGCAGAAGCCTTCGCTTATATCTAAATTTTAAACCTATTTTTTATGAAATTGAAAGACAAAATGGAAATAATTTTACATCCTGAGAGAATCTTAATCAGATGAGGTGATGATATAGGATGTTTGTCTGCATTCGTAGAAAAGAAGTGGATAGTGTTTGAAGTGTAACTAGAATGGCTTGGTAAATTAGGAATCAGAAAACATCAGCCTCATGAAAACCAGAAAGAATACAGGGGAAGGTGGAGATGTGACAACGTAAGCTCTTTACCTTGCCTGGGTCTCAGGCAAACAGCCAACCCACAGATGTGCAGCACAGGGGTTCTCACCAGTGTTCCCATGACACCAGGAGGTATAAAGAAGAGGACAGCCATAGAAACCATTGCCACCACATAGACAGAAACAGTGGGCTCCTCCTCAGGATCTGTGTGGATCATGACCCCTCTTCCCTGCTGAAATCTAAGTCAGGACAGTCACACTTGGTTTTCCCTCCCAGGTTCAGGAAGGGGATGGGGTACAGCATTCCCTTTGTGAGACATTCCCTGTCTATTTTCATTTACTGTTATGGTTCATTTAGAAGGATTTCAGGGAGTCTATTTTCATCCACTCTACTTCAGACCCACAATAGCTTAAATCAAAAGATGAGCTTGAGGGCTTCAACCTGCTCCGAGATCACCTTACTCTGAACAGGGATCCAGAGTCTTACTCACAATTTGTTGTCAGTGGTGCCACTGGGAGGACCTGGTATGATTAATGTAGGCACTGTCCTGGGCATAAAAGGATTCAGGTCACAGGCCTCACGTCCCTCCCTCATGGTAGGGGACAAGGGCTTGTCCATGCCATTCATATAAGGTTACATGAGCACATCAAGAAGAGTATCTACAGCACTTTGACCCTACTACAGACCATCAGGTGACCACCCCGCTTCACAGGGAAGTCCCTGTCCCAGCAGGAGCACAATGGGAACTCTCATACTTGTACCCAACACCCTACCCATTTGTGTGGAGTACATCTTGTGAAGAAGCAACAGAAGAGAGAAGTCAAAAACCACAGGAACTAGTGTAGACCAAGGGAAAGAGGGGAACAAGATTACTGATGGCTTGACAAGTGGACAGAGTGAGGGAGTCATGGCGTGCTCTGTGGTTATGGAGGAGAGCAGAAAGGGGCGTGAGTGGGAAGAGTAAAGGTAGCCTCACCTCTGAATTACTTGGAGTATCAGTCAAAGGTAGCCTGGGGGGGAGCCTGAGGCAAGAAGTACAGATGTGAATTTTACATCCCACATGAAGAGCATAAAACCAGTTAGGAAGGTTAATTGTTGTTGAGGTAACAAATGACAACCCAGGTCCCCTGGGGCCTTATGGCTAATAAAGTCTCATGGAAGATCCTTTATTGGCTCCCAAAGACCCCATGGGACTTCAGAGATATTATTGTTTTAAACTAACATTTCTGAATTTCACATTATTTCCTTCTAACTCTGTCAGCGCTCTAAGGCCTGGCTTTGTCCCCATTCAGATTAGGAAGACACATTGCCCCCCTCACACACATACTTTGGGGAGACCATTGGCAACGCATCACAGTCAGTCTTCAGTGCTCCTAGGTGCCTGTTGCTTCAGTGGGGGTGGCAGTGCTATGGGGATAAAGTTCAAAGGTGCTGGGGTCAAACCTTGAAAGACCAGAATAAAAATGGATTTTAACATTGAAATATTGATGTCAGACTGGAAGTATCAGAACTTATTGGCTCAACCTCTTGATAGTCATTTCTTCCCCAAGCTTGGGTTGTGGTCATCTGGTCTCTCTTTAAGAGTTCTGAGTTCCACCATCTGAGGAGTAGTCTACTCCAAGGGTCACTCTAATACTGACAAATTTCCTTTCAGTCTTGGTGCTGCCCTGTGAAGCCAAAACTAATGGTCTCTCCTCTGAGCCAGCCCTGGGGAGGCATGAAAACTGCCCTCCCAGGCCTCCAAAGAACCCCACTTTGTACTTTCTACCATGACCCAGTGAAAATGGTTTCCACAGTGCTTGCTGTTTCCCAGTTACTCCATCTGAACTCAGTGGAGCTGGACATGGTGTCCAGCCTTGGAAAAATTGTCACACAGAAGCCTAGGAGCTTGGATATTGAAGGCTACCTCTGGAAAATACTGGTAGATAATCTTAGTGCTGATGTGAAACCTCACTTGCAGACTGCTAGAGAGACAGATAGACAGGCAAGTGGGTAGATTGCTTTCTTAACTAAATAACATATCCAGGCAAGGTTTGGAAAACAAGCTTTATTGCATATGATGTTTATGTGTAAGACTGAGCACTGGTCCATCCTTTCCTTTATACTACTGGCATTCTGTCTGCTGCTGTCTCTATGTCCTTTCTTCTCCCTGGGAGTGAGAAAACAAATGAAGCAGAACAAGAAGTGACCAGAGTGAGCTCAGCTACTCAGTCTCTTTTTACTTTTTATCTTAAAGCCAGGGCCTTACACACCACAGTGAGTTCGTGTTCAGATCAACTGGAGAAAAGTGAAGGTTCTAGCATATCAGGTTTTGCAAGACCTCACTTTTATGTTGGTTGCTCCCCACACTCCTCTTTCCCCTACAGGCCTATGAATGTGGGCCAAAGTCTCACAGGCAGACCCCAAACCTCTGACCCCACTGAGACCTGCTGTCCTCTCTCCAGATCAGTCCTGGCCCTTGAGGTATGCTAAGCTCTGAGTCTAGAGGGGTCACAGTATTTCCTCTTAAAGTTGAAGACAGTCAACAGAGATAGAAAGTTCCCAGTCAAAACTCCCCAGCTTCTTGTTTAAGCACACAGAGGTCAGTTCCCCCACCATGCCCCCAAGCCCTGGATGCACAGCACAAGTTGGCTCAGCTGCAGAGTCACCAGGTAGCTCAGCCCTGCAATTCCTGTACTACCCTCCCCACCCTTTCCATTCATGTGACTACAGTGCTATAGGCTCAGCCAACTTCAAACCTCAGGCCTTACCTCTCCCAAGAGAAGGTCTCCCCATCTTCCAGGATTTTCTGGCCCATGAATCTCAGTTGCTATGTAGAAACCAAAACAGGCAAGAATACTTCTTAGTTAACAAGGGAAAGAGCCCTGCTGCCCCTGAGAAATTCTCTGAACTTCCTGGGGGAGCTCAAGACAAATCTAAACATGTCACATGAGAAGCCTGAGCAGGAAGCAGAGGACTCAGTGACACCCTTCCCCCTTCCATTGTTTCCCAAGCGAAGCCCCCATCTCTCTCTCCCTCAGGGAGGCCCTAGCCTGGATTGTCAGAACAACAGTACTGGCTTGAACAAGGCAGAGCTCCCTCAGCAGCCCCAGCCCCTGCTCACTTCCTGTCCTTCTGAGAGTGAAACACACAGCCTGGACACTGGCTCCAGGATCTCTTCAGGCCAGTGTCTTCCCCTGTGGGTGACTGCTCCTCACTCTCCTTTTCTTCTTGCTTCTGTTCTTCCTTCCCATCCTCTTCCTCCTCTTGGGGATCTTCTGAATCCTCATTTTCTATCAGGTGAGTCATGGTAAGATGGAAGACATGGCAGCTGAAGCCCTCTCTGATCCCATATTGCACGTGCTCCTGCAGAATATCCATGGTGGCAAAGACCCGGCAGCAGGCCATGCACCTGAAGCCTTTCTCCATGGTCACCAGCCAGTCAGGTGTCTTGGCCCTGGGTCTCTCCTCTACAGTAGGTGTTGCTGGCGGACTATCTGCCTCTGCCTTTTCTTCATGTTCTTTCTCGTCCCCACTGGGCTCGCTGTCAGACAGGAGGTTTCTGGTAGACACATCAGAGGGGGGAGTCCCTACCCGCACACCCTCAGGAAGGGTGGTTTCTTCTATCCTCGGCTGCTTTTCTACGGTCTCTGAGGTTTCCTGTGTCTCCCAGGAGACAGCCACACCTTTTTTCATTTGCACCTGCATGTAGTATACTTTCATCCCCTTTTTCTCTTTGTTTATAGACAGATTGGACACACAGGTCTTATATGATGAATGGGATGAGAAGGACACGAGTTGAGAGGGGGCAGGGATCTCTCCTCCCTCCTGAACCTGGGCTGCGGGTGATCTAGGCTGGGCACTGTCTTGTTTTGCCTTCCGGGTTCCTGGAAAAAGAAATCAGAAACATAAGAATGTATGTAGAGCCTGTAGGAAGCTGAGGACATGCAGGTGTGACCGTGTGTGGTGCAAGAGAGGGAATGGTGGTGAGCTTGCTATTTGCTGTTCACAGTATCACAGGATGGTGTAGTTTGTATACAAAAGAATATTGGCAGAAGAGAGTGGGGTGCGTGGTGGTGAGGGGGGAGGAATGTGTGTGCTTGTGAGGATGGGATTTTTATATAGATTGTGGGGTGTGGTATAGGATGATGGGTCATGAGTTTTGGTTTTGTGCACTGATAATATATGTATCCACATGGAGTGTCACTACATGTAGGTGGTGTGTGGTCCCACTGCATGGCTGTTCACCTGTGGTGAAAACTCTATCCTGTTTTAGAAGTCAAGGACTAGGAAAGAGCCCACATAGCTCCTCTGAGTGTGCTTAATCTGGCCCCTTAGCCTGACACCCCAAGCCCACATCTTCTTGGCAACTTTTCTCTCTCCTCATCATGATTGTGCAGGGCTTATGGTATTCCACACGAAGCTCACATCCACACCTCCCTGAGGGCTCTAGATTCTATCCAGGATCCTCCACAGAGCCCTGACCACCTCCAAACACCCTGGGCCTCCTCTCAGCCTCATGCTTGAATGCACTCACCTTTGCACTGAACCCAAAGAACCCACGTGCACAGAGCCCACATCCATAGAGCTCTACCTCCAAGGAGCCCCACCCCCAAGGAGCCACACAGCCAAAGAACCCCACACTCAAAAAGTTTCACATTCAAGGAACCCCATACCTTTTTTTTTTTTTTGCAACACTGGAATTTGAACTCAGGGCCTCCTGATAGATAAGCAGGCACTCAGCTTGAGCCACACCTCTAGTGGATCCCAGCTCCTTACCTCCATGGATGAGCTTTCCTGGAGAGGAAACACAGGAGAAGTATTCAGAGGCAGAGGAGACCTCCCCTGCCCCTGGGCTCCGGACTTTGGCTACTCCAATGGATCCAGGCAACGGGGCACCCTCCTGTGTCTTTGAAATTCCTGGAAAAGGTATGAAATGCACAGTGACTTGGTGGGCTGGGTGAGCTTGTACATCACTCACCTACCTATCCAACAAATATTTACTGAGCCTCTGACACACATGTCAGAGGTGTGGTGCATGCACGTAGCTTAGAGTCTGGCTCTTGGTGAATAGTTCAGCATTTAATCACAAAGTCATTTTATTAGTGCTTGTGAGGAATGTAGGCCCATGTGATGATAGAATATGGGTGAAGTGTAAGAGTGAGATGCATCATGCCCAGAGGCCCAAAGGGAAGGCCTTGGATGGTGTGAGGTCAGAATGGTGAAGACAGTAGAAGTGTGTTCCTGTCTATGGAAAGTTCATGAGTTTACTTTGTGTTCACAACTCTGGACTTAAGTAATACATAACTTCTCCATTATATGGTATTCCTTGTATTTATAATATGCATTAATTCATTCATTCAAGAAATATTTAGTTAATAGCACTGTTCCACTATTCTGAGATATACAAAGTCCATCTTCTAACTGGACCTTTCCTGTAGTTTGGGAAGACAGCCAATAAGCAGAAACACTTAAGTATATAATAGGCCAGCTCACAGTGACTCTACAAAGATTACCAGATTTAGCAAACAAAAATACCTGATGCCCAGTTAAATTTGAATTCCAGATAAATCACAAATAATTGTTAATATAAGTGTGTCCTATGTGAGTTATTATTACAAGGTCTTTCCTGTACCATGATTCTCCTATCTATCCCTCCCAATTAGAGAGGATGATAGACCCTAGGCATCATGCCCAGCTTTTTTCTTGAGTAGAGTTCTCTCTTACTTTTTCCCCTGGGCGATCCTCCCAATCTCTGCATCCTGAGTAGCTGGAATTAGAGGCAGAAGCCACCATGTGGTCTGAACATTATACATTTTATTTGACAACTGTAATAAAGGGGTGGAAGTGAATCTATGTTGTGGTGTGGTTTGTATGAAATGGCCCTGGTTTTGCCACACATTGTGTTATAGATGTGACATAATGACATGTGACTGCTTCTTATAGAGGTATTTAGAGAGAGTTTAAGGTGTTTGTGTTTGTATGAGGGGACACACACAATCTCCAGAGTTTAGTGTAGGAAGAAAGAGCTGTCACACACATGAGTTGTGTGTGCATGCAGTAAAGGGGTGGTGTGTAACTATGTGTACTCTGTGTGGTTTAATAAAGCAGTTGTGTGTGGAGGTGTGTGACTTTTTTCCATTTCAAGTGAGATAGATGATAGATAGATAGATAGATATAGATAGATAGATAGATAGATAGATGGATGACAGAGAGATACATATACATCCTGATATACGTAGCTCGTGGAAGGCCTTAACGAGAATCTTGTATACCCTGTCACGTGTTTTGCGTGCCACTCAGGTCTAAATAAGGTAATAAGAACTTTAGCTCGCAGACGTCACAGCTGGTGACTATGCTACCCCCATTAATCCTACTTCTGTTCCTCCTAACACACACCTGAACAAAACCTTCTACAGTATAAAAGTCAGAGAGAAAACCCTTACATTGCCCTTCCTGTTTCAGGTCCCTAGAAATTGCCTGTACTCCAGGCCTGTATTCTCTAGGTTCATCCTATAGTCTTCAGGACCCTGGGCCTTATAGAAGCTGCTGGGCTCTAATTTGGGCAGAAGCCTCCTGCTGGATCTCTAGGATGAGCTCCATTCTGCCCCACATCATACCTAGGACTGCCCCTCCTGGGGACAAGCTGCTTGTTCACATTTAATCCGTGCAGTTAGCATGCAGTCTAGGAAGTTGACAGGTCTGGGTGTTCCATGATTTCCCCAGGGACCTATCCATATGCTCTCAGGCTCTGCAAGGCCCTTCTCCCTCTTCCCTTCATTTCATCTGGGAAGCCCCAAACCCATGCAGTCACAAACTGATGGACCAGTAAGTAAATTCTTCTTGCTGAAGGAATAAAATCTCCATGTTTTCAGGGCGACACCATCCCTAGGCAAACTCTTAAACTACCTTCTAACAGGCATGTCACTACTCAAGATATTTCCCACAAGGCCTCAATTCACTAGGCTGCTCTTTGCTCTTTCTAAAAGGGACAAGGGAACTCATAGATGTCCAGCTCACACTGCCCACTCAATGACCCCAAGTGAATAGCAAGTAGACTAGGGGAGAAGGCAGGAACTCAGAAAAGCTGCATCTCAGTCATGAAGCTGGGACCCCACATTTCTGGAGTCCATAACCCCAGGTCCAAAGCTCCCTAGAAGAAATTTGCAGAGCAGTGGGCTATCTGTCTGCCCAGGGCATTTGGACTTTCTCGCCCATTTCATTCCACTGGTGCCCTCAGCATCAGCTGATGGCAGATCCCTCCCTCTTTAAGTCACAGATGCTTGTTGTCCTCAATCCCCTCTCCTCAGGAAGGCTCAGGCTGGCCAGCATCCCTTCTCCCTGGCAAGCTGCCCAGCACATACCTCCTCCCTTCTCATCAGCTGTCTGGGACTCTTCATTTTCCAGGTGTTTCCTCTTTTGTCTCCGTTTCATAGCCTCAGCTAAAAAAGTCCCTCAGAGGATGCTTAGGGTCCAGCTCCCCCTTCTCCCTACAGGTTGGCCCTTCTTGGTTCTCAGGAAATCCGCTGAAATGACTCAATACCAAAAAAAAAAATAGTCAAGTCTTCTAGATGCCTGAAGAACTCAGACCCCTGTGTGAACCAGCAGCCCTGCCCAGTGCTCACTACACTGCAGGGCTGTTAAGGTTCAAAGGTCACCAGCCCACAGGAGGATACTCTGACCTCAATGATGACATCAGAGTATTCTGTGGCCCTCAGTCCAACGCAGCCTCTGCAACTGCAGAAACCCCATTTCCAGGAACAATTCCCTTTTCCCAACGGAACCTCTCTAATGAATTCAACTCTCTCATCTTTCAAATGTGGCAGAATATTTTTAGATGTTAACATGTTTCTGTTTAATTTTTTTTTTCTTTTCTCCTTTTATTTCACCCTTTCCTTTCTGCCCTCAAGCAGGTAGCATGCTTTGTGTTCATTGCTCAGAGCAGAGGTATGGCAGGGCCCAAAGCAGCAATAGTTTGCTGATAATCTTGACTTTTATTTCTAAAATCCCAAACTTCATAGAAAAGAGAATACTGAGCAGAAACATAATACAGTAGGATTTTGAGATGATCTATGCTTTCTCTTCTTCCCCTACTAGGAGTACTAAGAGATGCTGATTAGGAGAGAAAAAGAGAGAGAGATTGAGTGACAGAGAAACCAGTGGAGCCTGGAGGAGAGGAGAGGCCTTGAAATGCAACTAAAAAGATAGATATGGCAAAAATTCCAGGAGGACTTGTGCATGCAAGCAGAACCAAGGCAGTCCATCCCACTCATGGCACAGGAGACACCAAACTTAAAGGAACCACAGCAAACAGGCTGATGGACATCTAAACAAAAGCCACATAATCTAATAAACCAGCCTCAAAACAGTGGTCCTATATGATTTCCAGATAGAACCCCAGCAGGATCAAGGCTTAGATTAAAAATTACATGGAGTTATTAAAAAATGGCATGTTATTTCTTGCTGACAGAGTAGATATTCTTCAGGAACTAGGCTCCCAGACTCCTTTATCTGAGATCTCCACCAAATCAGTCCACTGCAAATTTGCCCTAGGTCTGGGGAATAGGTAGAAACATTGTAGACTGAACCAATCTGTAATAAGTTTATTTTTTCTATTATAACAAATAATTCCCCCCCAAAAAAATCCAAGTGACTTAAAACAAGAAAGGTGTCTGGCTCCTGGAACGTACCCACTATGGATTGGCAGGGTGTTCTGCTCCTCATCCTCAGTCCTGAACCCCAGCTGCAAAGCCACCACAATCTGGAAAATTGTCAGGCAAGATTGCAGAGGCAAAGAGAATTCTGAGACTCACACTGACATCAAATGTTTTGATCCAGAAGTCACATACATCACATCACCTCAAAAACTGTTAGCCAGGAGATGCAACCAATCAGGCTACACATTCACAAAACTAGATCTGGACCTCACATCTCTTAGACCATAATTTCATGTGGGGTTAGGATTTTTATGCAAGGACAATGTTGTTGGGATTGCATGATATTGACTTTGCTTTTGGTTTTGTTTTTCTTCTTTTATAATAAGTCTAGGAGGGAAGGTTTGGAAGTCCCTAAAATGCTTCCCTTATCTTGAAAAGCAACTGCAAAATATTTTAGCTTCCTTTGGAAATGCTCAACCTGGTAAAGATTAGCCATCTGGGAGACTTTTATACTCTGAATACAAGAAGTATAGAGGATAAGAGATTTCTAAGGCTGCAGGATACAGAAGGAAACTATTGATTCCCATTTTGCCATTTCGATTATCTTGCTGACACTCCGGATCTTTGAGTGATGATGGTGGCAGCATCCACAGAGTTTCACTGGAGATAAAAGTGTGCCTAATGGTTGGGCAGCTCTGTAGAACCACGCACAATGGGAAATGCCCCCATGCAATCTTATTTGCTCAGAGGTCTGAGCAAAGTGACAAATGGTTCTAAAACATTTATTCCAAAAAGCTTTTGCTCTTATTACTCTAAAGATAACTTGACTGGCAAGCATGTGCTCCAGGATGAGAAAGAACACATCTGCGGGAGAAGGGTTTGTGCTTTGGTTGCTTATTTTGTTCTGGAGATACATGGCATATCTATTAAATCACAGGCCATCTTCACCCTTCCCCAGAGTGAGAACAAGTGACTGTGTCATTTCCTTCATTAAATCCATCCTGGTCAGGGTTATTATTATTTTTTTTTTTTTTAGGGAGAATTACTCCCCTGCTTACATCTTAAATTGCTTACAAATATGTGAAGAATAAAGTCTAAAGTCTTCAGTCAGACCTTCAAAGCCCTGCATGGTTAGGGTCACTATTGAGTTTTCTAGTCTACAGCACAATGCGCACCTTCTAGCGTCCACTGAACTGGGCCAATTCCCCTCTCTCATTCCCCAAGTCATTTCTTTCAATTATCCCAATTTTTGAAATACAATGTGTTTTAAAGTTCAAGTAAAACCCCACTTTTTCTAAGAACCTTTCCAGGAACCCAGTGAGAATAGCCACACATTTGCCTAGCATGCTGGTTGTTCCTCTATCAGAGCTCCTCCTGTACTGTGACTGTTTTCCCACCATCCCAAGGTCTGAACCTTTGGAAGCAGATGTCTTTGTTCCTCCTCTCTGGATTCCCAAGCTCCTTGCACTTAGGCTGAGTTCCTTACATACCACCTGCCCCTCAAAACAATGGAAAAAAAGTTTTAATAGTCAAGTACTGGATCTACTTTTCCCCTAGCCCAAACAATATTCAATGCAGCTTCTCCTTCATTGTTCCCAACACCAGCACATAAGAGTCATCTCTGGCTAGGAGCTGGTGGCTCATACCTATATAATCCTAGCTATTCAGGAAGATCATAGTTTGAAGTCAGCGTGGACAAAAGGTTAGTGAGACTCCATCTCAACAAGTAAGCTGAGCATGGTAGTACACACCAATGCTATGAGGGAAACAAAAAGTAGGATCGTGGTCTAGGTCTGCCTGGGCAAGGAAAAATAAAAGAAGAACTTAGCTGAAAAATAACTAAAGCAAGAAGGCAGGGACCATGGATCAAGTGGTAGAGTGTCTGCCTAGTCTGTGAGGCCCTGAGTTCAACCCCTAGTACTGCCAAAAATAAAGAGAAAGAGCCATAAGAAAAGATGCTGGGTTTTCCCAGCATCTCACCATACCAATGTATCTGAAGCAAAGTGGGACCCCATGTGTGCTGTGTAATCAACCCAAATTCCTTAATCTCCATCAAAAACAACTTCTTCACTACCTATAATTAGCCACAGAACTTTTAGTATTTTCAATATTTAACTTTAAATGATTTTCCTTAAATGTGAGGAGTGATATCTTAAGTTAAACCATTATCAACCAATGTTCTGGAAAGCACTAGGAGACACCAGGCTGCAGATTATGCCAGTTTTGAATGGGATAAGAGATGTAGAGAAAGGACAGAGAGGAAATGGTGTTTGGAAAAGAGCCAGATGTGAGGGTAGTAGTTGGAAGTGCCAAAACTAAATATTCAAAAAGTAATAAATATGCCTCATAAACCTGGAGCGGATTAAATCTTCCTGAGATGGTACCCTGAGTAATAATTTAAACTGAGTTAAGATGCATAAGAATTCAAATAGCTATATGGCCATCAATGTCTAATAACAAAAGACCCCAGAGACTAGGGTAAAACCCATAACACTAAAAGAAACTGTCACACTGGGAGTGAGCTGCTATATACAAATTTTAAGCCAGAGAAGCAAGACTTCTGAGGCAGGCCCAGGTAAGTACTGGTGCTTAGGAACTATCCTGGTCCAAAGGACTAATCTGAACTAAGCCACAACTTCCCATGAGACTATTTTGTAGGGTTTTGGAAATTTCCTCCATGGGTGAGATCCTGGACATCAATTCCTAGAAGTTAAGTGGGATTAACAGGCTCTGGCCAAGATCTCAGTGTCCTGGGCAGTGTATCCACAATGTTGAGGACATGAGCTGCTAGCAAACCCCATGCCTTAAATGCCTCTTGGTCTGTAAACTGTGTCTTATGCCTTCCTGCTGTTTCTTGTTCCATAAAGTATCAGAGAGGAACTGCTTCTAGATGACAACTGAGATCCCTGCAGACTGGACGCTGCCATGAGCACAGAATCTGTCCCAAGGAAAGGAATAAAACAGTGAACCTCCTGCTCCTTCCCTGGATATGTACTTGTTGGTGCCCCACAGCTCAGTTGTGAGCTATGAGCAAAAACCTTGCCATTGACATTCACCCCTCAATGGGTAAAAAGGGGTCAGAGGCTCAAGGCTGTTTGAGCAGTCAGGAATTTTGACCCAGCATAGAGCTAGGAACAGTGCAGCTAGCAAATGGTAATTTTTAGGACTACTTTGAAGTGTGAGTGGAAACTTTGATTGGTTCTCTGTCTCTTGGCTGTCCCAAGATTTCTATCTTATTGAAATGTGGCAAACAGCTCAAATTCTTTCTTCCCCCAGAGAAAGAAGACAGTCACAAACTTTACAAACCTAAAATTAGAGTTTATATGTATAGCCAAGCTAGACTGTAGACTGCCTTACTGTGAAAGCCTGACAATATTTGATAACTCACAAAAGTATCATCAACCAACATTTATAAGAGCCCAATTGCATAAGATGAGGTGCTACGTGGAAGATAACCAAGTCTACAGTTGCAATTTCAGGTCTGCAGGGCCCACGGGCTGAGGCAGACATATGAAGTACATGGAGAAAGCAAAATCAAAATGGCAGAGCCAACTCAGAATGGATGTGGCAACTCTCCACTACTGGGGATCTTCCCACCCCCTTCCCCAAAGCATACCAACCCCAGTGACCAAGGTGGAGATAAAGCCAAGAAGGACACCCTCTCCATTGCTGAGATGCTCAGGGTTGGGAAGAACCATGGTGTTTGTGCAATCCAGTACCCATGCTACCCAGAATATCTTCTAAAATGGCTCCACCAAGCAGTTACCTAGCCAAAAA